CATTTCTCGCGATCCGAACGTTACATAAGCTGGCTGACGATGAAGGTCAGGCGTTTCCTAGGGCTTCCAAGGTCATTAAAGAGCATCTCTATGTAGATGATTTAATATCCGGGGCTAACACCATCGACGAAGCTCGAGCCATCCGTGATGAAGTGATCGCGTTGCTCGCCCAGGGTGGTTTTGCTATTAGGCAATGGGCTTCCAATGAAAAGCACGTCATCGGTGATCTTGCTCCTAGCGCGCTACACGCGGGACTTACGTTCGATGGGGATCACTCCTTGAAAACTCTGGGAGTGATGTGGTGTGCGCGAGACGATGAGATACGCTATTCTGTTCGATCGGTTGAAATCACCAAACAGTTAACGAAACGACGTATATTGTCGGAAATCGCGAAGATCTACGATCCGCTGGGACTGTTAGGCCCTGTTGTTTTTTACGCTAAAAAATTAATGCAGGACGTGTGGCGATGTCAACTTGATTGGGATGAATCCGTTCCACAGAGCGTACACACAGCGTGGTTAGAGTTCGTTCAGCAGCTTGAAACAATAGACCAAATCTCTTTTAATCGTAAATTATTCAATGAAGATTGCGGAGATATTCAGTTCCACGGATTCTGCGATGCCAGTGGTAGCGGATACGGTGCATGCATTTACGTGCGCTCCACAGGGAAGAGCCGGAACACGGTTAGATTGTTATGCGCTAAGTCTCGGGTTGCGCCGTTAAAAGAACTTACTATCCCGCGTCTCGAACTTTGCGGCGCGTTGTTGTTGGCTCGCTTATATCGGGAAGTGGACGGCATATTGAATATCGGGACTAGCAGAATGAGTTTCTGGTGCGACTCCACAGTCGTGTTGCATTGGTTAAAGACGCCACCCCATCTGCTCAACATCTTCGTGGCAAATCGCGTCGCGGAAATTCAGGAATCCACAAATCTAACTAAATGGCGACATGTCAGATCGCAAGACAACCCCGCTGATGCGATATCTAGAGGTCAATTAGCGCACGCGTTTATACGAAATCGAACTTGGTTTACAGGACCATCTTGGTTAAGCGAAGGCGAAAACGAATGGCCTGACGTGTTCGTGCAAATTAACGAAGCAACCGTTACGCGGACGAACGAGGTTCCTGAGCTGAGAAAGAATGTTTGTTTGTTAATATCCAATGAGCCCGAAATAATTGAAAAATTTTCCTCGTATTCTAAACTCTTAAGAGTCGTGGCATATTGTCTGCGCGTTCGCCCGGCCAACATGCGCAAGGGGTCATTGTGCTCAGAGGAAATAGACGAGGCTGAAAAACGGATATTAAAAATCATTCAGAATACTCGATTTTCCGCCGAAATTAAAATCTTGCGAGATAAAAATTCTACGATCAGAGGCAAATTAGCTAATCTGAGTCCGTTCATAGACGATCACGGTTTGATTCGTGTCGGTGGGCGACTCCAAAATTCAGGCGTAACATTTTCAAAAAAACATCCCATTCTATTGCCAAGTCGACACGGTCTAACTGACCGTATTATTCGCGAGAC